TAACACGAACTGTTGGAACGAATCTAACATTTTAAGTTGGACTTTTTGCTGACGAAGCACCGGGCAATTGCCAGTTTGAAATATTTTGTAAACCTCAAACCTTGTGCTGAATATTTTAGTATCAAAATATTTTATAAGCATTTATTGGATGTGTCACTCTTTGTACCTTATCTGTTCCTCATAATTATTTCCTTAAATTACTATATATTCCTATGTAAAATATTAATTAACAATTTCTTATCCATCATTTCTTTTCAGGTAAGTTCCATTAGCATTAACTTATCATTCTACCACAGAAACGTAAGTAAATTTCAAAAATCCCCTTAAAATAATGTGATAGAAAATCAATTGCAATTTTCACACAAACGTCAAGTTCTATTTACACATCCTACTCAGCAGCAGGTTAAATCCTATTTTGCGTAACAGGAAGGAATGTGGATGAAATGGGATCCTTTTTGTTTAATTTTTACTACCACCAATTTCATTAGGCCATCTCCCACATAACGAAAAATAAATGTCTTTTGATTTCCTTTTGAATAAGGAAGGAACCATACAATTTAAGAAAAGGAAATTTACCTAACCTTTTTACTACCTCCAATAGACAAAAAAGATCGCCCGCCACACATTCATAAATACAGCTGGCCCAGGAAACCAACCATTAGCGACAGTGTGCAATTTCCAAGGAAACATTTATATCCCATCGATGAATGGTTGGCTGAATGACTCGATGAAAGTCGGGAATCGGGGGACATACAACAATTTCACCAAATCAATATTTAATGACTTTCAAAGTGTTATGACTCATTTTTTTCTTTTGGGTTTTATGATTTTCGGGAAGAAAATGTTGCAGTATTACGGCGTTATTATGATGGCTGAGCGTCTGTCCGACTGCCAAACTATTTGTGTTTGAATGTTTTGTTGTTGTTGGTTTATCACTCCTTTTTAATTAACTTCCTATTTGTACAAATTTGTGTGTGTGTCTCCCACACAAACACCTGGTTGAGGTGTTGTTTTTGGGCACAACAAACAGCGGACCAACGACGCAAAACAAGTCAACACACCTCTCTCTGGCTCACAGCGACATCAATGCCAAATGATTTACAATTTGAACATGGCTTTTATGTAAAACAGACTAACGACGCCAATTTGTCTAGCCGGATTGTATGACAAATATTAGCAACATATTTGGTCGTTGTCGGATCGGAATGTTGCACAGTGTTTCTTTTAATATGACAGTATTAGATGACGGTGGACCGATACTGCCCATTTCCAAACTCGACATAAATATGATAGTAATATTAAGATGTACCAAGTTTGGACGAAATCGAACGAAACCTAGGGTCTAAATTTTGATCCAACCACAGTCACCAACGGCGACATCTATATCAAATTTCAGCTCTCTTTTTTCACCCAATACCAAATTTATTACTATCCAGTACATTTCGTATTTCGTACACATTCCCGAGACACCTCTACAATTTTAAACACAGACACCAACAGTGATATCTTTATCAAATTTCAGGATTCCAGCTCCAAATTTAGTACTTTAGTACTATCCATTCTCCCAATACCAAATTTAGTACTTTTCGTTCAATTGTAGTGCACATTTCCAAAACCGCCTCCACATCTTAATCGCAGATACCAACAGAGACCTCAATATCAAATTAAGGGATTCCAGGTCTATCGCTTCACACAATACCAAATTTAGTATCATTTTGCACTATCCCTTCACTCAATAACCAATTTCGAAGAATTTCCATTGCCACCACAGATGCCAACAGAGACCTTAATATCAAATTAAGGGATTCCAGGTCTATCCCTTCACCCAATACCCAATTTAGAACCACTTAGTACTTTTCGAACAATTATAGCAAACATTTCCGTTGTCACCTCCATATTTTAACCACAGACACCAAATGTGTAATCTATATCACACTTCAGGCTTTTAGCTCTCTCCTTTCACCCAGTTTAATTTAGTACTATTTAGTACTTTTCGTACAAATATAGGAGACATTTTCAAAACCACTTCCACCTCTTTACTACAGACACCAATGTGACAACTATATCAAATTTCAGGACCAATACCAAATTTGATACTATTAGGTATATTTCGTACAATTATAGTACACATTTCCAAAACCACTTACATATCACAATTCTAGATATCAACAGAGACCTCAATATAAAAATTGAAGATTCCAAACCTATCCCTTCACCAAGCACCAAATTTAGTACCATTTGGTACTTTTCGTTTCAGGGCTGTTCTCTCACCCAATATTAAATTTAGTATTATTTAGTACTTTTCGCACAATTTTAGAACACATTTACAAACCACCTCCTTTTCGTAATTCAAATGCCAACAGAGACCTCAGTATCAAATTTCAGGATTCCAGCTCTATCCCTTCACCCAAACCAAATTTTGGTACCATTTAGTTCATTTTGTACAATGTAGGACACATTTCCAAACCACCGCAAAACCTCAAACACAAATACAAGCAATAATCTAAATGTCCAGTTTCAAAATTGTATCTCTATCCCTTCACCTAACACCAAATTTGGTACAATTAAGTACTTTTCGTACAATTATAGTAAACTTTTTCATAACCACTTCCATATCTTGACCATTTATACATATTGAATAATTATAGTACACATTTCCACAACCACCTCCAGGTTACACATGAACAGCCATCCTAATTTCGGATTTCAGATTTCAAGCACTATCTCTTTATCCAATACCAAATTTGACCAAATAAAGTACTATATAGTACATTTCGTGCACTTGTAGTACACATTTCCAAAACCACATCTTTATCTCAAATCAACCATCAACAGGGACCTGAATACAAAATTTAAAAATGCCAATTTCATCCGTTCACCCTAAAGCAAACTGTTTAAAATTTAGTACCATTTAGTACAGAGTGCATAAATAGTACTCATTTCCAAAACCGCCTTCATATATCAAACTTACTTACTACAGACACCAACAGCGACATCTATACCAAATTTCATGATTTTATTTCTATCCCTTCACGAAATACCAAATTATGTAGTAATTAGTACTTTTCGTACAATTATATTACACATTTCCACAACCAGAGAGAGTTCTTAACCTCAGACATCTCAATCCCAAACAGAGACCTTTAGATCAAATTTGGGGATTCCAGACCTATTTATTCACTAAACACAACATTTCGTACCATTTGGTACTTTTTGAACAGTTATAGTACACATTTCCAAACCACCTCAAAGTCTATTATACTACTCAGTACTTTCGTTCAAACTTCACATGAACAGCGACCCTAATTTCAGATTTCAAACAACATCCAATACCAATTTGCACCAAATTCAGGGTGAGATAAAAAAACTGCAACAAAGTCAAACGCCATCATTGTTACATTTTTGTAATTTCATTGAATGAAAGCAAAAAATGTCGGAAATAGCTTCAAATTTTAGAATAAGTTTAGATTTGTTCGAATTAATCACCTTTGGCACGAATTATGACCTTCAAACGGCCAATGAAACCGTCACACGCTGCCCGAATGTTGCTCTGCGATAATTTGGCCCATTTCCGGCGAAGCACTTGCTTGAGGTGATCGACACTTTGGTATTTTTTTCAAAATACTCCAGACACAATAGTCCAACGGATTGGTATTCGGAGATTTTGGTGGCCATTTTGCGTCGGAAATGAAGCGAGGAACCTAATTTTGTAAACTATTCTTGGGCGGCGCATGCTATGTGCAAATAAATATTTGCGCCCAAGGCTTTAATACACCCTACAGAATATTTTGGCGATAATATTCGGCATTTATTCTGATGCCACGGTCGATTAATACGAGCGGAGAGCGACCATCGGCTGTTATCAATGGCTCAATGGCTTTACCCCGAGCTCATTTTTCAATATTTGCCGTATGGAATATTGCGATATGTTCAGCTCATGAGCCATTTTTTGGCGGGTTTCGATTAAGTCGCTTCTTTACTTTTCGAACCATTTCTGCTGATGTTGCTGTTTTTTTTCCGTCCACTTCTTTGACGTCGGGCTACGCTACCAGCATCACGGTAACGATAGATGATACGATACACAAAAGATTTATTTACATTTAAATGCTGGAGTTCTCCAACGATAGCCACTTGCTGTTTTCCAGCCAAATATAATGAATTCCATCACTATTTTTCTGGAAAATCCTCACCAAAATGCTTTTGTGCGCTTGTAAACAATATAATGAGCTGTCACTGGAATAACTTTTACAGCTGTCGGACGAGTGGCTTAGAAATGACTGCAGTCTGTAGTTGGTTGCAGTTTTTTCATCTCACCCTGCATAATGTATGGGGTCTACGACGAATATTAGGGATATAACAAACATAATGATAAAGTTAACATACTCTCCTTTTCAAGGTGGAGGGTATAAATATATCCAGAGTGTCCTCTTCAAAGAAATTATCCACAATAGCAACATACTTATGACAGCTAGCGAAATAATTTTAATAAACCTCGTAGGAAACATTTTCCCTATCAGACTTATGAAGTAATTCACTTTTCCATACACCCACAATGGTTGCATGCATGATCGGTTCACACATATATTTCATACCACAACGTTTAGGACGACCATGTCTGTCGGTTGATCGGCATGTTTGTTATACTGTGGCTTACTGCCTTTGGGTAACACCTCCCCAGCTCTTTGGTAACAATGGTGACTAGCCGCAGTCATTTATGACCACATTTATGCAATCCAATCAAATTATATGCTCATTAAATGAAAATCTCGGGTTCAGCATCCCAGTCATCTGACCAACAATGCAACTGGCAAACGTTTTCTTACCACATTTTTTATTGGCCACCCAAACCAAAGAGCCGCCGTCGCCGCCATGAGACGTGATAGTTGCAGTCGGTCGTTCGGTCACACCATCTAATACAGACATTCAGGCAGACAAAATTGCCCAGCTGCATGCAACAACAACATCAACAATAAATTGTTGGTGGGCATGATGATGATTACCTGTTTGTCGCACAAAGTTGAGACGATGAGGGTGACGATGATGCTGGTGGTGGCGGCGTGATAGTTGCAATTATTGTTGGTGTTGTTGTTGTGGTTTGCTCAGTCATACGACGCGCCTAATGATCTTTAACCTGCAAAATTGCTCTATACGCACGAATATGAAATTTGCCTTTTTCGCATGCCTACTCTCTCGTGGAAACAGAGAAATTTTCCATGAAACTTGCAATGGGAGTTACCTTTAGGTAAAATGCCTAACTAATTACATGTTTTTTTTATATTTTGTATGGCAGCGGTGACAATCTTTTTACATTAGTTTTTATTTAGGTCTTAATTTGTAAAAAAACATAGAAAATTACTTAATTATCAGTTAAATGACATAAAAAAGGGTCAGAAGATACTAACCAGGTCCCATCCAAAAACCCAAAATATTGGAAAAAAAAAAAATAATTTCTTTTTAATGAGATTTGCGAGAACACCTAAGAAATTTTTTTATTACTCCTAAATTGTCTGTGAATTATTTAGATGCACGATTTGGGCACTTTTGCTGCTGTGTTTAAGAACAAAGGATGCAGAACGTAACTTTTCGATTTAAACGTTCCTATATAGGTGAGTCTTAATTTGTTCTTTTACGAAAAAACTAGCCGCTGTCTTAAGGAAGTAAAAAACTTGTTCTATGTTTTTATATCCTACACCACATACGGGTGAGAAAAAAGAAACTGCAACAAATTCAAAGCCATAATTTTTACATTTTTTTAAACCCTCCACCATACTATGGTCGCTCCGTTTGCAACTCCTCGAAATACTCATGTCAGACACAACAAAGTATATATATTCTTGATCAGCGTAAAATTCTAAGTCGATTTAGCGATGTCGGTCTGTCTGTTGTAATCTTTCGAACGAATTGAGATAGAAGGCTAAAATTTTGCACACATGTTTATTTTTCAAGAAGGCAGGTTAAGTTAGTAAATGGGCCAGGTAGGTCCACGTTTTCATATAGCTGCCATTTAACAGTACCTCCCGATATTCGGTATTTTGATGATGATGATAGCGACATTATTCACCGGAATTGTTTAAAATTGGTATTTGAAGTTCGAAATGGATACTACAGCCTAAGACAGAAAATTTTCTGTTCAGGTCGAGGTCTTCGTATAGCCCCCATATAACGGTACCTCCCTATATTCGGGTTTAGATGCAATACCCACCGAAATTGTTTGAGGTGTCGTATTTGGAGTTCATAATGGATGCTACAGCCTATGACAGAAAATTGTCTATGCAGGTCGAGGTCTTCGTATAGGCCCCATGTACCAGTACCTCCCTATATTCGGGTTTAGATGCAATACCTACCGAAATTGTTTGAGGTGTCGTATTTGGAGTTCATAATGGATGCTACAGCCTATGACAGCAAATTGTCTATGCTGTTCCAGGTGTTCGTACAGCTCCGATATAACGGTACCTCCCTATATTCGATATTTTGATGATTTTAGCTACATTATTCACCGTTTATTTCAAGTTTCGAATTTGATTTTCGTAACGACTTATGACAAACAATGCCTACGGCTATATTTTTAAAATTTTAACAGAATTTTTTAAGGATTTTAATTCCAAATTCATTCCATATGGTGGAGGGTATTCAAAGTTCGGCCCGGCCGAACTTACTGCTTTTTAACTTGTTTAATTTTATAGAATGAAAGAAAAAATGTCGGAATTAGCATCAAATTTTAGAATAAGCTTAGATTTCTTCAAATTGATTACCTTTGGCACGAATTATGGCCTGCAAACGGCCAATGAAAGCGTCACACGCTGACCGAATGTTGCTCTGCGGTATTTTGGCCCATTCCCGGCGAAGCGCTTGCTTGAAGTGATCGACAATTTGGTATTTTTTAGTGCCAACCTTGCTTTCCAAAATACTCCAGACACAATAGTTCAACGGACTGGTATCCGGAGATTTTGGTGGCCATTGTGCACTGGAAATGAAGCGAGGAACCTAATTTTATAACCATTCTTGGGTGACATAAATCGCGTGCCCAAGACTTTAATACACCCTCCAGAATATTTTCGGAAAATACTAAATTTTTTGGAAAATACTAAAATGTGCGTGAGATACCAGATATAGTGGACCGAGGGCTGATGTCTAAACCAATGTTGTGAACACTGCAGCTAATCCATTTATTTGGATAGCATAAGATGTTACGCTTCCAAACATATGTATATTTTAGTCGAGACCACATCATTAACAATCGAACGTGATTTAAAGCAATTTTCTCAAGTTTTGAATACGAAAAAAACCCAATCCAAAAAAGAAAAAAATTAAATAAACGTTTTAATCTGCTAACATGGCATTTCTCCAGTGTCTACCGATGTATGTAGGTACGTACGTACGTACTATTTTGGAAGAGGTCAGAAGACATTGAGGTTTTTCTGTCTTTATTTCTTTTTGCTTTAAAATTTGTACCATTTATTGTTATTTTCGGCTACCGCAGCGTAGCGTCCGTCACCCGAACAGTTTATATGTTGTGCACGAAGTTGCGATCATGTGCTATCTTTGGTGCTCGCATTCCATCATCGATCGGCATAATCATGTGCGGCCCATAGATTTGTTTCTTCAAGCACGTACAGCTTGAATTGGTATGGGTGTACCTCGAAACGACGAACGAAATGCTAAAACATGCGGCGTGTCTGTGTCGACAAAATGAAACAACAAATCACTTTCACCCAAAATACACAAAAAAAAAAAACTAAAGAAAAACAAACGAAAAAGTTGTAAGAAAAACATGAATGAATCAATGGGAGGGAGGTAGGTGATCGTTGTTGTTAATCTAGTGATTGTCTATGGAATAACCCAGGGACAAGGAAACAAGGAACAAGAAACAAAACTTACCAGCAGTGGGTTTACTTTTGTTGAAATAGCATTCAATCAATACAGTGAGAGCGAGGGAATCTAAGTATACACTTCATCATACCCAGTGAGAAAATGGAGAAGATATCATATTAAAACTATAATTGTTCACATACACATTCTGAGTCGATTTATGCACGTCCGCCAGTCTGTCTGCCCATGTATTTTTGTAAACAAAGTACAGCTCGCATTTATTGCCCGATCCAGATGAAATTTTGCACATATCATATGTTTGGCCCAAGGACGAACTCTATTGAAATTGGAGATAATCGGTAAAAATTTAGATATAGCTCCCATATATATCTCCGTCTGATTTGCATTTTACTGTGCGCCAAACGTGTAATATCAGCCCGAATAGTATGGAATTTTGCATATACAACCAAATTATGCCTTAAAATAAGTATGCTAAATTTGATCGAAATCAGTTCAGATATAGCTAAAGCTCCCATATATATTGTTTATCCGATTTGTTATTTTTGTCCTCCGCAGCCGTAATATGCACTCTGTAACTACAATATTTGGGTTCAATTTCAGAAATATATTTGCTAAATTTTATTGGGATCGGATAAGATTTGGATGTAGCTTCGATATAACTTCGTCCGATTTACTTTTTATTGTGCACCAAACGTCTAATATTTATCCAAATGGGATGGAATTCGGCATATACGACCGAATTGAGTCTAGACGCTATTATGTCAAATTTGGTGAAGATCGGTTCAGATATAGCTATAGCTCCCATATATATTGTTCATCTGATTTGTTATGTTTGTTACCCACAGCCGTAATATGCACTCCGTAACAACGATATTCAGGGAAATATATCAAATACAGCTCACAAATATCTTTGCAAAATTTTATCGAGATCGGTTCAGATTTGGATATAGCTCCCATATATATCTTCGTTCCGATTTCATGTTAATTGTGCACCAAATGGGCAATGCAAGTCCGAATTTAAAAGATACAAATGCTTCGGCATATTTAGTCTTTTGAACTTTAAATTATAATTATAATCATAGAGTGTATGATTGAATTCTCCCGTAAAAACTTTTAATTGTTATGCGGAGCTCTACTAAATAAGCAAAGTGGTGTAGTCGGCCCCCGCCCGACTTAAAGACTTTCTTTAATAGTTTTAGTACTCAAAATGAACAATTTGTTTATTATTTCATGGGCAAAACAAAGCTGCAGAAATGATAATTGAAAAATTAATGGCCTTTGCATCAAAAAGTCTTCAAACCCTTTCGTTTTGAAGTTTACTGAAGAACATATTAGTTAAACCGTTGCACAATGGCTCCGTATCATTTCAAGGTTTCCATATTTAAACCCTAGAAACCAGCGGTGAACTTAATACAAATTTCAGTCCATTCCAACACCCAACGGCATATTTTGTGGCAATTTGCATAGTACGAATTTTCCAAACCACCTCCTTCATTTAAAATCAAATTTAGTAACATTTAGTACTTCTCCTATAATTTTAGTACTCATTTGCAAAATCGTGCCACATTTCAATCCCAGGCTTCTATAGTTATCGCAATATAAAACTTCACGTTTTCCGGGATAGACCAGAATACCAAATTAAGTTCAATTTTTTTGATTGGCAACACCACTACCAGATCTCAATCCCAGATACCAACAGAAACCTCAATATCAAATTTCAGAATTTTATCTCTGTCCCTTCGGCTAATATCTAATTTAGTACCTTTCGAACAATTATAGTACACATTTCCAAAACCACCTCCATATCTCAATCTCAAATATCAACAGAGACCGCAATATCGAATTTCAGGATTCCCGCACCATACCTTCACACCATACCTAATTTTGTACCATTTAGTACTTCTCGTACGAATAAAGAACGCTTTACCCAACAACCTTCATTCATAAATCAGTACAAATGTAGTACACATTTCCAAAACAACGTCCATATCTTAACCACACACCCACACAGTGACATCTATTCCGGATTTCTGCTCTATTCCTTCACCCAATACCCAATTTAGTACATCTTAGACTTTTCGTATAATTAGAGTACACATTTCTGAAACCATCTGCATATCTCAATCCCAGATACCAACAGGGATTCCAGCCCTACCCATTGATTGAATACCAAATTTAGTACCATTCAGTACATTTCATACTTTCGTTATAGTACACATATCCGAAACCATCTCCATATGTCCTGGCCACACATGAATAGCAACCCTAATACCCAAT